AGTATTTTATTTCTGTAATAAGTGCTCTATTTTCCCACGATATTTAAGCAGTTAAACATTTATGAGGCAAAAAATGATTCAACGGCAACAATGTCAATTGTTCTGGCCACCATATATTGTAATTATGCCTTTCCAAAATAACTGTGATGCCTGATTCTGCCTCATTGATGTGCTTGTGATTTCATACAAAATGTTTTTTTTTTTTCTGTAACAAAATATGAAATGCAAGTTTCATTTGCAGAAGCATTTGCTGAGTTTCCCTTAAAACAGAGATGAATTTCAGATATTGCTTGAAGAACAGTTAGTTGCGACTTTTATTCAAGTAAATATGTTTGATGCTGCTCTTTCACAGTAGGGGATATCTGAGAGCGTTTGTTTGCGGGAACAAACCCTGAATCCTCCTACCAGAGCCAAGAGAATGATTCAAAAGCAGGCAGGAAATCTATAGCAGCTCACAGCAGCAATACACGTAATTAATTAGTGCGACTCATCCAGTGCTTTCATTTGCATTCAGGCCAAACGGAGGGCAGAGGCACTGTACTGCAGTTTAACCCTCACCTGACCGGACGAGCAGCACTGACAGAATCAGAATCAGAATCAGAAGAGCTTTATTACCAAGTATGTTTACACACACAAGGAATTTGACTTGACGACAGGAGCTTCCAGTGTAGAAGAAAGTACAAACATAGTGCAGACATACATGATAGTGCAGACATACATATGAATAACACAGTAGGGATGTAATATAACACTAATATAATAAAAAAGAAAAATTGAATAATGTACTATATACAGAAATAGAAGTATAGGAAAAAATGTAATTATTTAGATAAATGTACAGATATGTTTATTAGTGTGCAGATATGTTATTTACAAAGCGTGCAGTTTAATATAAGTATAACTATGTTAGTTGTGATGGACGATGTATAATTATGAAAGATTAATTGTTCAGACTGAATATAGCCTGTGGGAAAAAACTGTTCTTGTGCCTGGCTGTTCTGGTGGTCAGTGCTCTGTAGCGTCGACCAGAAGGCAACAGTTCGAAGAGAG